GTTAAAAAAGTGTCATAATTTTTAAAAAAATTAATTCTAAGATGTGAATATGAAAATCGGATGTGAGTGTATGAAAACCTAATATCTAATGTGAAATTCTCTGGAAGTGTATGAAGACTCCCGCCTTGGGCAGGGAAGGTAGGTCTAGAAGAGTACAGCTGTGTTATTCTGTTGTAGGTCCCTTCTAGCCCTATGATTCTAAGAATTTAAAAAAGAAAAAGGGAAATGGACAAAAAGCAAAAGGAGGGGGTGCTAACAAAAAAGGGGGGAAAGCTAAAGCTTCTTCTAAAACTTAGTAAACCACCACAAGTCTCCTCGGGTGTTTTGGGGTGCTTTAGAGAATAGGTTGACGTTGACCCCGCCCCTCTTTAAATACTCAAATATCCTGAAACTGCGGCTGATGGGGGGGCGGCGAGGGAGAGAGGAGGGGCCAGAGCGTCACTCCCACTTTCCCAGGGAGGAAACTGGGCGGAAAAGGCGGTGAGAAGCCTCCGTGGAGCCTCTCTAGGAATCTCCTGTCATTGTTTCTCTCACCTGCGGTTTCCCTATTTTCTGGCGTTTTGGGGCGGCTGTGCGGATTCTCGCTGTCCGGCAAGGCTGCTCCGGGCAGGCGGGGCTCCTGCTCTCCCTCGGGCCGCCAGGAGGAAGGTAGCCCCGAGTCCCCCCTGGGTGCCAGGAGGGTCCCGGGTGGATGCCGGGCTGGACGGGGAGCCTCGCCCCACGGAGGGCAAAGGTGGCTTTTCCTTGAATAGTTTAAGTGGGGGGGGGGGGAGTATTGTGTGTGTGTGGGGGAAACCCGCCTCTTCCCGCGGGGGGGGGGGGGGGGGGGGGTTTGTGGGGGGGGGGGGGGGGGGAGGAAGAGGTTCAAATTACTTGAATTGAATTGAATGTTCTCCCAGCGCAGAAAATAACCACTTTCTTTCTGCTTCATTTCTAAATGGAGAAGAATTGATATTCCTTGCTTTTATTTTAGTATTTTAATTGTTTACTCTTGTTTCTACAAAGCTGGGTAGAAGCTGGAAAAAAATCATCAATTGCCTCGTTTTGCTCTAAAGGAGAGGATGTGATGTGGCAGCTCCTCGTTGTGGGTTTTATCCACCAGAATAGAGTGGGAAAGGGACCTTGGAGGTCTTCTAGTCCGGCCCCCTCCTCAAGCTGGAGACCCTATACCATTTCGGACAGGTGGCTGTCCATTCTTTTCTCAAAAGCTTCCAGTGTTGGAGCACCCATAACTTCTGCAGACCGGTTGCTACACTGGTTAATTGTCCTGGTGCTCTGGAAAATAGATTGACTTCCTCTTCTTTGTGGCAGCCCCTCAGATAGAATAGAATACTTTATTGGCCAAGTGTGATTGGACACCCAAGGAATTTGTCTTGGTGTAAATACTCTCAGTATACATAAAAGAAAAGATACATTTGTCAAGATTCATAAGGTACAACACTTAATGATAGTCATCAGGTACAATAAGCAATCAAATTATACTAGGAAACAGTCAATATAAATAGTAAGGATGAAAGCAATAAAGTTACAGTCATACAGTCACCAGTGGGAGGGGATGGGTGATAAGGAGTGATGACAAGATTAACAGTAACAGTAGTGCAGACTTTGTAAATAGTTGAACAGGGTTGAGGGAATTATTTGTTTAGCAGAGTGATGGCTTTGGGGGGGACGGGGACTGTTCCTGTGTCTAGTTGTTGTGGTGTGCAGTGCTCTATAGTGTTCTTTTGAGGGAAGGAGTTGAAACAGTTCATTTCCGGGATGTGAGGGTCCATAAATATTTTCGCAGCCCTCTTTTTGACTCGTGCAGTATACAGGTCCTCAATTAAAGGCAGGTGGGTAGTAATTGTTTTTTTCTGCAGTCCTAATTATCGTCTGAAGTCTGTGTCTGTCCTGTTGGGTTGCAGAACCAAACCAGACAGTTATAGAGGTGCAGATGACAGACTCAATAATTCCTCTGTAGAACAGGATCAGCAGCTCCTTGGACAGTTTGAGCTTTTTGAGTTGGCGCAGAAAGAACATTCTTTGTTGTGCTTTTTTGATGACATTTTTGATGTGAGGTGTCCATTTTAGGTCATGTGATATAGTAGAACCTAGAAATTTGAAGGTCTCTACTGTTGATACGGTGTTGTCTAGTATTGTAAGAGATGGTAGTATGGGAGGGTTTCTTCTAAAGTCTATCACCATTTCTATGGTTTTGAGTGTGTTGAGTTCCAGATTGTTCCAGTTACACCACGAGGCAAGTTGTATAACCTCCTGTCTATGCAGATTCATTGTCTCAAATGAGACCAATCATTGTTGTGCCATCAGCAAACTTCAATATTTTAACAGATGGATCGTTTGAGATGCAGTCATTGGTATATAGGGAGAAGAGAAGTGGATAGCACACAGCGTGGTGGGGGGCTGTGCTGATTGTACAGGTGTCGGATGTGATTCCGCCTAGCTCCACCTGCTGCTTTCTGTCTGTTAGGAAGCTTATGATCCATTTACAAGTGTGTTCAGGTACCGCTAGATGGTTTAATTTACTTAGAAGAGTGTCTGGAATGATGGTATTGAATGCTGAACTGAAGTCTACAAAGAGGATCCTTGCGTAGGTATTTGGAGATTCAAGGTGTTGTAGGATGTCATGCAGAGCCATGTTAACAGCATCATCATCTATTTGCTATGTATGCAAACTGCATGGGATCTAACAGCGGGTCTGTGATGGTTTTCAGGTGGGACAGCACAAACCTTTCAAAGATTTTCCTAACTGCAGATGTTAGAGCAACTGGTCTGTAGTCATTCAGTTCCTTGGTGAAGGGCTTCTTTGGCACTGGGATGATAGTAGAGCGTTTTAAGCAGGAAGGAACATAGCACATCTCTAGTCATCTATTGAAGATTTGGGTGAAGATGGGGGCAATTGGTCAGCACAGATTTTTAAGCAAGAAGGAGTTATCTTGTCTGGCCTTGGTGCTTTTCCTGGCTTTTGTCTGTGAAATAGATCTTACACTTCTTTTTCTGTGATCACCAGAGGTTGTGAACCCAATGGATTGGGTCCAGTTTTAGGAGGCTTGGCTGTTGTTGGTGTGTTTGAGATGTGGATTGTGGAGATAGGTGGCTGTAATTTCCTTTCAAGCCTGCAGTAAAACATATTCAAGTTATCTGCTAGTTGTTGATTTCCTTCTGCCTGGGAAGGAGGTTTGCTGAAGCCAGTGATGTTTTTAAGAGTTTTCCACATGTTTTCTGGTTCATTTATTGAGAACTGATTCCTTAACTTTTCAGAGTAGCTTCTTATTGCTGCTCTGATCTCCCTTGTTAATATGCTTCTGGCCTGGTTGTATAGCATTCTGTCACCTTTTCTGTAGGCTTCCTCTTTGGAACGACATAGCTGCTTAAGTTTAGTTATGAACCAAGGTTTATTGTTACAAAATAGTTGCAGGTTCCTTGTTGGTACACATAAGTCGTTGCAGAAGCTGACATATGATGTTACAGTATCTGTGAGCTCATCTAGGTCTGCAAAGGCATCTTCAAAAACATTCCAATAAGTGCAATCAAGGCAGACCTAGAGTTTCAGCTTTGCCTCATCCAACCAGGTCTTCACTGATTTAATTGTTGGTTTCATGGTTTTAAGTCTTTGTCTGTAGGCAGGTACAAGGTGAATTATGTAGTGGTCAGATTGTCCCACAGCTGCTTGTGGTAAAGACCTATAAGCATCTTTTACTGTTGTATAGCAGTGGTCTAAAGTATTTTTGCCTCTGGTGGGACAATTTACATGCTGGAAATATTTTGGGAGCTCTTTCCTTAAATTTACTTGATTGAAATCTCCTAAAATGATGGGAAGGAAACCTGGGTGTTTGGCTTCAGCCTCCATAATTTGATCAGCAAGAGTTCGTAATGCCTTGTTTACACAGGCTTGTGGAGGAACATGCACAGCTATTAGAAATGAAGAGAACTCACGTGGAGAATAAAATGGCTTGCAGTTGATATGTAAAGACTCTTAAGTTTTCATCACAGGACTTATATATTATAGTTATATCCTGAGACAACTCTTGTTGATATATAAACATAATCCTCCACCCTTTGTTTTACCTGATGTCTCTTCAATTCTGTCTGATCTAAATGTCTGAAATCCTGGGATGTATATGGTGTTGTCCCCATGAATTTGTGGATTAAGCCAGGTTTCAGTAAAACAGAGAACAGCTGAATTGTAAAAATCAGAATTCCATCTATTTAAGAGATGAATTTCATCCATCTTGTTAGCAAGTGAGCATAAATTAGTCAGAAAGATTGAAGGGAGAGGAGTTTTTTTCCCCCTATTCCTTAGTCTGTTTAAAATTCCTGTTCATTTACCTTGTGTCCTTTTTCGGCATTGCCGCTTCTTTGCTAAATTTGTTGTAATCCATAGCACCGGGGAATTGGTTAGAATCTCCTCCCTGTTTGCAAAGATAGGTGAGGGTGAGGAATCAGAAATTTGCTCCTTAAGGAAACATTGCCTAATTCTTAGCAGATGTTCTTGTGAGTATGAAATCAGGAGTGAATTGCAGATAATAAGGAATAAAGAAACCATTAGAGAGCATTTCATCAAGGCAGCAGTTGTCGATGCCATCTTGGCAGGCAAAAAACTACTGCCACCCTCCAATCCTTCTTTTCTTTAGACCAACCATTCTTCTTAAATAAAATTGGTTTGGCATGATCTCTTTTCAACAAACTCATAATGGCTTTTATAATGGCTTTTTCATGTAGCATTACTGCCCACCCCTCCCACGGAAAAGGAAAAAAAAGGGGTTCATCCCCAGTTAGGCAGGCAAATGGGGGCCAACAAGGACTCTGTCACCCATCCTTCTCATCATGCTAAGATAAGGGAAGGAGAGGACAGCCCCACAGGGAGGATCCCAGCATTGCTTTGATTCTGGGAGGAGGGAATAGAGGCTTTGGCGATCTTCCACCTATTGGTTGTTAAGAGAGCTGGATAAAATAAATCTTCCTCTCTCCTTCACTTCTTTTATCTTCATCCTGCAGGTGTCACCAGGAGAACCTTTGGGGAAAGGTCTCTTTACAGGATCCAATTTGGGTCAGTCACCGGGACCAGAGGTTTAACCTTCTGAGCTTTTGGACTCTTACTAGAGCCCATCCTCCAGCCTATCTTCCAACTTTTTGCCCAAGTTCTGCTTGTTGGAGTTTCCTCTGATAGAAAGCCCGGAAAGTGAGCAGTCTTTGGAAACTATGCAGAGGGGGGAAGACTTTGGCCAAAGGTCCCCTGAGAGGAATCAGGGGAGACTCTCTAAGTGCTCCGAGTGTGGGAAATCCTTTGCTCACCGGTCCCTCCTTTTGATCCACCGGAAGCTGCACACGGGGAGTAGATCCCACCTGTGTTTTCTTTGTGGAAGCTCCTTTCCTGGAGTCTGGAGCTTTGCCAAACATCTCCGGAGCCATCCTGGAGTGAAGCCTTACAAATGCGGAGGGTGCAGGGAGCGTTTTGCTAAAGGCTCGGACCTTGGAGCCCATCAGCGAATCCACCAGGGAAGAAAGAGATCTCAGGAATCCTCGAGGCGCTGGGGAAGATTTCCTGGGAGACGGCGTCTTTCTCAGCCTCCCAACAGCCCGACTGAAGAGAAGCCCTGCAAGTGTGAGCAATGTGGGCTCTGCTTTCCTCAAGCCTCACAGCTGCTTAAACATCAGCAAATCCACACCAGAGAGAAACCTTATCAATGTCTGGAGTGTGGGAAATCTTTCCGTAATAAACAATTGTTTGGAAAACATGAGAAAATTCACACAGGAAAGAGTCCTTATATATGCTTAGAGTGTGGAAAATGTTTCACTCGAAGCTCATCTCTTTGCCAACATAAGAAAATGCACAAAAAGGAGGAAAGCAAAATGTGCCCAGAATGTGGGAAATGTTTTTCCAGGAAAACATACTTGCTGCGACATCAGAGAATTCACACCAGAGAAAAACCCTATCGGTGCCCAGAATGTGGGAGATGTTTTGGTGAAAAGTCAACCCTAATTCGACATCAGAGACTTCATACTGGGGACAGACCCTATCAGTGTCCAAAATGTGAGAAAAGATTTGTGGATTCTTCTGAACTTCGGAGACATCAAAGGACACACATGGGAGAAAAACTATATAAATGTAAGATACACCTAATTCGACACAGAATTCACACTGGGGAAAGACCCTTTCAGTGCCCAGAATGTGGGAGAGGTTTTGGCTACAAGTCATGTCTAATTCGACATCAGAGACTTCACACTGGGGAAAGACCCTTTCAGTGCCCAGAATGTGGGAGAGGTTTCGTCACAAAGTCAACCCTAAATCGACATCAGAGACTTCACACTGGGGACAGACCTTTTCAGTGCCCAGAATGTGAGAAAAGATTTGTGGATTCTTCTGAACTTCGGAGGCACCAAAGGAGGCACAGGGGAGAAAATGTGTATGAATGTAAGTCACACACTGGGGAAACACCCCATCACTGCCCAGAGTGCGGCAGAGGTTTTGGCTACAAGTCAAACCTAATTCAACACCAGAGACTTCACACTGGAGAAAGACCCCATGAATGCCCAGAATGTGGGAGATGTTTTGGCCAAAAATCAACACTAATTCGACATCAGAGAATTCATACTGGGGACAGACCCTTCAAATGCCCAGAATGTGAGAAAACATTTGTGGATTCTTCTCAACTTCGGAGACACCAGAGGACACACTGGGGAGAAAAACTCTATAAATGTAAGGATTGTGATAAATGTTTTTCTCTAAAGGAAAGTCTTTTTCAACATCAGAGTATCCATACAGGGGTGAAGCCCTATCAGTGCATTGAGTGTGGAAGATTTTTCCGTACAATACAAATGCTCAGAAATCATGAGAATGTTCACAGAGGAGAAAAAAAATTCAAATGTTTAGACTGTGGGAGAACATTTGGTTATTTATCATCCCTTAGAATTCACTGCCAAACCCATACGGGTGAGAAACACCACAAATGCTCAGTGTGTGAGAAATCTTTTACCCGGAAAGATACACTTTTGATGCATCAGAGAAGCCACTTAGAGAAGCAATATAAATGTCCAGAGTGTGAGAAAACTTTTCGTTGCAAGTATTATCTTAGAAAACATGAGAGGCTTCACAAAGGAGAGAAGCCCTTCAAGCGTGTGCAGAAAAATGAAGTATGCCCAGAATGTGGGAGGTGTTTTGGTAGAAAGGCACACCTAATTCAACACCAGAGAATTCACACAGGAGAAAAACCCCATCAGTGCCCAGAATGTGGGAGATGTTTTACCTATAAGTCACACCTAAATCGACATCAGAAACTTCACACTGGAGACAGACCTTATCCATGCTCAGAATGTGGGAAACGATTTGTGGAGTCTGCTGAACTTCGGAGGCATCAGAAGGGGCACACGGGAGAGAGGCCCTATAAATGTGGGGAGTGTGGGAAAGGTTTTCTCACAGCAACACTGCTTCGGGTTCATCAGAGAATCCATACGGGGGAGAAGCCATACCTGTGTGTAGAGTGTGGGAAATGTTTTTCCCAACAACAACACCTTGGAAGGCATCAAAAGGTCCATATGAAATGAAGCCATAGAGATGCACATAGTGAGGTAATATTTTGCTCAAAAATGAGACATCAGAAAACTGGCATGGGAAAAGCCCGAATAGGCCCTGATGGTAGAATAGTTTTTCCTACGTGTTCAACCCTTAGAAGTCCTATAAGAGTTCATAAAGAAGGCGGGAGGGATTAGAAACTCTCAGAGAGCATTTTCTTATCAACTGTCCCTTAAAAATCACACTCTAATCCAGATAGGAAAGATGCACTTTAAGTCTTTGAAGTGTGATTTATGGTTTGTTTGGAAAAATATTCTTTTAGCATCAGTGAATTCATCAGTTTCTCTACTGGAGAGAAACTTTTATCAGGGCTTAGAATGTGGCAGAGATTTTTATCTGATCATCAGATCTTCAGCTGCGCATGAAAAATCCACACAGGAGGAAAATCTTACAGGTGTATCACATGAGAATATTTTTCCTTGCCAATTGGAACATCTTGCCTCCTAGCGATTGTCCATTAAAATTTCCTCCTGGAAATTTTCTTTATCAAGTTAAATTTTGTTATAATTTTAAAAAAAATTAATTCTAAGATGTGAAAATCTGATATGAGTATGAAAACCCAATATGTAATGTGAAATTCTCTGGAAGTGTATGAAGACTCCTGCCTTGGGCAGGGAAGGTAGGACTAGAAGAGTACAGCTGTGTTATTCTGTTGTAGGTCCCTTCTAGCCCTATGATTCTATGAATTTAAAAAGAAAAAGGGACATGGATGAAAAGCAAAAGTTTAGTTTAATTTATTGTCATTGCACCTTGTACAACAAAATCAAACACCATCTTCAGTGCACATCATGTCCATGACCATGAAAACAAAACACAAACACACATCCTTCACCCTTCACACATTGAACCAAAAAACCCCAACACCACACCAACACTGCACTATACAGCAGAATTCAAAAGAGCTACTGCCCTGGGATAGAAGCTGTTTTTCAGCCTCTTTGTCCTTGTTTTTATTTTCTTGTACCGTCTGCCAGATGGTAATAGTTCAAAAAAAGTGTGCCCAGGGTGAGATGGATCTTTGAGAATGTTTTGAACTTTCTTAAGGCAGCGGGAGCTATAAAGCTCTCCCAAAGAGGGGAGAGGGCAACCCATGATTTTCTGGGCAATGACGTTAACCCTCTGGAGTGCTGTCCTATCTGCCACTGTGCAATTGGCAAACCATACAGAGGTGTCGTAAGTTAAGATACTCTCTATGGTGCAGCGGTGAAAGGTCACCAGTTTTTCATTCAGTTGTTGTTTTCTGAAAAGTCTCAGGTAGTATAATCTCTGCTGGGCACCCTTTTGACCAGGGCTGCAATGTGGGCACCCCAGGTCAGGTCCTCTTTTATGGTAACACCCAGAAACTTAAAACTGGCCACTTGCTCCACTTGGTCTCCATTGATAAGCAAGGACTGGATGTCTGACATGTTCCTTCTATAATCCACTATAAGCTCCTTGGTCTTATTGGTGTTGAGGACTAAGTTATTGTCTCCACACCATGAAAGCAACCAGTCCACCTCATCTCGGTAGGCAGACTCACCCCCCTCACCCCCCGGAGATAAGTCCCACCACTGTTGTATCATCTGCAAATTTAGCAAAAGTATTATTAGCATGAGTGGTAATGCCGTCTTGCACATAAAGAGTATAGAGTAAGGGAATCAACACGCAACCCTGCAGTGTACCAGTGTTAAGAATAAGGGCTGAAGAGGTATGATTACCTAATCTGACCCTCTGTGAGCGGCCAGACAGGAAATCCATAATCCAAAGGCAGATTGAATAAGAAAGACCAAGGTTCAGAAGTTTAGACGCTAGTCTACGTAGAAGAATTGTGTTAAACACAGAACTACAATCCACAAAAAGCGTCCTCATATACACCGCCCCCCTGCTGTTCTAGATGAGTCAGAGTAGTGTGAAGAGTGATGGCCATAGCGTCCTCCGTAGAGTGCTGACAAAATAGGGGGGCAAGCTAAGGATTCTGCTAAAACCTTTGAAGCCACCAAGTCTCTTTTTTTAGTTGGGCAGGATTAACGAATCTGGGAAATAGAATCATAGGATATGTATCCTAGAGCAGGGGTCGCTAACCTTTTGGACCTCAGGGACCGCCAAACTCGTAATTTTAAATCCCAGGGACCACTAACCAGTTCTGTGGGCATGGCCTAATTTGTGGGTGTGGCTTGGTCATGTGACTGGCTGGGCATGGCTCTTATGTAAATATAAATATTTATATAAATATTGATTTTTTTTATTTTAAAAAAAGAGCAACTTTTACCCAAAATCAGGCAAAGCAGGCAGACAGATTGAGTTGCTCACAGAATCACAGATTCATTCAGAGATCTATCTATCTGCCATCGGCTAGCTCAGTCTGTCACATAAAATTTGCTTGCCATGAGTCTGCCCTGAATAATAGAACCTTCAGTCCTAAGGGAGGTTCGGCTGTGCTTAAAAGCAGAGCCAAAGATCTAAAGACTAGCTAGAAAGCAAGAAATGCAACCATTTCCTGCTTCCTAGACCTAGTTAATGCAAGTTTGCCGGGTGAGTGGGCGGGGAGGGTTCCCGCAGACACAGCCTTGTATTTCTGCGCAGCCTGGATTAATTGCTTTGGGGGAGGTGCTCTGGGGGTGAGATTTTTCTGCAGCCCACCAAAATTTTCTCGCGGCCCACCAGAGGGACGCGGCCCACCAGTTGGTGACCGCTGTCCTAAGGCACAACAGAAGCCCGGAGGTAAGGACTTAGCTAATAATTTTGTGGTAAATTTAAAAGAACCTTAGGAAGAAATCAAAATATTAATGGAAACATTAACAGATCTTTAGGGCATTAGCTGATTTTAAAATCAGTAGCTAATAGACAAGGAAATTGACTAAAATAGGAAAACGGAAGACAAAATAGAATTGATGGGGAAAGGTGATTTAAAAGAAATGATACAAACGTAAGACATTTGAGTATTCTTACAAAGAATACAAATTCTATGTCAAAATAATTCTGATAAGGCATGGAATCAAATTGAAAAGGATGTTAAGATGGAAAAATACAATTGTCGTTGGTTATAGAAGTTCTGTAATTAAAAATGACTATATTACTAGACTTATGTGTCTGTTTTAAACAATACCTATCTGGACAATGGGTGTGCCACCTAAGCAATGACAGGAAGATATATCTGTTTATATGGCAGGAAAAAAAACTAAGAGTTTAATTTAAAACTGTTCCAGACCAAAGAAGAGGAGGATGATTAGGATTGCCTGATTAAAAATTGTACTTTGCAGCGCTTCGGATGAAAACGTGGGTGTTGCTGAAAATTTTAAAATGGGAAGGGTATGGCTTTTATATGAAGCATTTTATGAAAAAGAGTAGACCACAATAAATGGATAAAGTGTAATATCCTGATAGCTTACACTTTTTGTCTCATTTCTTCACACTGGAGACAAACCCTATGTATGCCCAGAATGTGAAAAAAGATTTGTGGAGTCTGCTGAACTTCCGAGACATCAGAAGGGGCACACAGGAAAGAGGCCCCGTAAATTTGGGGAATGTGGGAAAAGTTTTATCACAGCAACAGAGCCATGGGTTCATCAGGGAATCCATACAGGGGGGAGAAGCCCTATAAATGTGGGGAGTGTTGGAAAACTTTTACCTGAAAACAAAACTGTAGAAATCATCAAAAGGTCCATAGAGGAATGAAGCCATAGAGATGCATAGAATGCAAGAAAGTTTTGCTCAAAACTTCAAACATCAGAAAAACCACATGGGAAAAGCCCCAGTTATGCCCTGATGGGGGAACAGGTTTTCATAGCAGATCAACCCCTGGAAGTCATATAAAAAGTTTGTAAGTTTTGTTAAATTTTAGAAAAACATAAAGTACAAGAAAACCAAGGAGAAAGAACTGGAAAAAAGGCAAGGGGGGGAGGAAGAAAAATTGGACAGTGCAGACAAAAAGGGAAAAAAAACTATAGAGAAAAAGTAACTTCCAACTTTTGTCACTACAGGTAAAATCCTAAGTATCAATTGCTCTTTGAATTAGAATAAACCATAACAAACAATATGTTTATCATTATAAACATGTATAACCATAAATAAACCAGGTTTGAATTTCATTTCTTTCAGTTACAAGCAAATAGAGTGATTTCCAAGTAGCAGGAAATATAGAAAAGAATAGAATAGAATTCTTTTATTGGCCAAGTGTGATTGGACAAACAAGGAATTTGTCTTGGTGCAAATGCTCTCAGTGTACATAAAAAGATACATGAGTCAAGAGTCATAAGGTACAACACTTAATGATAGTCATAGGATACAATAAGCAATCAAATCATACTATGAAAAAGTCAATATAGATCATAAGGATAGAAGCGACAAACTTAAGTCATACAATCACAAGTGGGAGGGAATGGGTGATAAGGAGTGATGAGAAGTTAATAATAGTAGCTCAGACTTTGTAAATAGTTGGACAGTGTTGTGGGAATTGTTTAGCAGAGTAATGGCTTTCGGGAAAAAACTCTCCTTGTGTC